ATTTCTTTTTGTTTGGTACCATATGTTTTTAAATTATATGTATATTATAATTAGAATTATGTACACCAGCATTTGAACATGAAGACAGACTGAATGAGACGTAAAATTATTTTTGATTTCGTCGCCGGGGATCAGTGCCTCATAATAAGTTTAAAGCTGGCATACAGTATTTTAATAAACTTCCTAACATTAGCTGTAATTTAAACTATCGTATTTCGAAATACGATAAAGTATGTCTGGTTACTGAATTTAGCAAGTTTTGTTATTTTTATTTGAATTGGACTTAAAAGGTTTAAGAAAATAATAATATTGTTACTATTAATTATATTCAATTCAAGTCTTGCAATTCGGCAACAACGACATATTTAATTAAAGATAAATTTGCAATTTGCAGGTGAGTCTAAGCAAACCTCTCTATTGTATTAGGTGATTTGGACTCGAGTTAAATTTAAATAACAGTACTCAGTAATGCCCTCCTACACTAATAGATATTTTTCGTATCTAGATTTTTCGTTAAGATTGTGAATTTGTTAACACTTGCAATCCCAGTAAACGAAGTATTGTTATCCCGTATGTAAAAAAGTAATAATGAGCAACTCTATTGTTTGTTTTTTTAAGTTTTTTACATTTACTACAATATCTGAACTAACTTGCTGTAGCTTCAGTTATTGAAAGAGAGCTTAGTTTCGGTTTAATTAAGGTTTATATCAATTGAAGTAGTTTGTTAGTGTACGTATATCAATGTATTACGGTTTGTTTTTGTATATTATCATGCGCATGATGCACATACATTATCATATATAGGTTATATGAATATTTTACGCTCTAAAAATGTTTAGGATATTTTATTGGTGATTCAAATTCAGTCCTTATTACAATACCAGTAAGTTGCATTTTGTTTTTTCTAGAGCTACCTAATGTTTGGATTAGAAAGCAATTAAAACATTTCATTGTGTAAACGAAATAATTTCTCCTATTGTAAGGCTTATTTACATCTTGCCAGATTTATATTTATTTAGTATAGTTTAAACCGCTGACAATAAATATTTGTTTGGTGTATTCCCCAATAAGAGCAACATGTGTCCATGTGACATAGGTACGCATGATATAATAAATATATTTGTCTTTAGATATGTATATTACAGGTTCATATTCGGATATTCCGTTGCATAGGTCCGAGTTACAGAAATTGTATCTATCCTATCTGTTGTCATATTGTATTCCAGTTTACTGTACTGTTTGTATTATAACTATGTCATTGAAACGGATGTTTAAATTTAACAATCTGAGAACTGATTATTAATGACATTAGAGATTATTTTCATTTATAACCAAACTTTTGGATATGTGTAATTTGCAGATTTTATTAAAATCAAACAATAATTATAATATTTGTTTTATTTTTTAGATCATGTATATAATTATAGTGTCAGTGTACTAAATATCATATGTTATATTTAGGATCATAATCACAAATATAATAAATCAAACAAACAGCCAGACAGACAAAAGTTTATAATTTTTACATGTGCAATTAGTGAAAAGCTGTTAATTTGAAATTATAAACAGACACTTCAATTCTATGTATTTGTATAGATATCGACATAGGCGATTAAAGAAATGAGTTACAAATATTGATGACAGAGAACTAAAAGACTATTTTCCTAAATTTTTTAGCTGACACTTACCTAATCTAAGATATTTACCATAAAAAGAGTCGAGTGTCATCCACACCATCACTCCACTTAAGGACTTTTTTGTTTTGAATTAAAAGAATCATAACACTTTCATTATTATTTTATTGAAATACAAAGCATGCAACAGATTCGAGGTAGTTATTAGTTATAGCTCACAAGACAACCTTTCGTTTGGTATGAGATAATATTCTCAATCTTACTTGAATCTACCCAACCAGCAATATATCTTAAAATTGTGTACAAAACTAAATAGCAATAAATACATCACACAAAATAAAATTAAAAGTTTACAGAATAGTTACTTGTCGTGTACTATTACTGTATACCTATTAATTATGATATAACAATATGTTCAAAGATATCAAGGACGATAAGAATATATTAATAGCTTACATTAGACATTCTAATACCTCCTTCTCTAATACAAAAGGACTTGGGAACCCCAAGACCCCAATTTGTGGATTGATTTCTTCCTATTAAACCAAAATATGTACAATTGTTTTATAATATATGTATGCAAATATACTTACTATCTTTTTCTATTAATGATGTATTTAAGTTATAAAACATAAAATATATTCATTATTAATATGTTTATTATCTAGACACGCGGCAGCGTGTCAAGCCGAGTTAATATATATTCTAACAAAAGGAAACTTGGGTAAATATATATTTGCTGGTTGGGATATTTTTACAATTCAACATATATATACAATTATTTATATTAACTCAATTTCCTACTTGTATCTAACGTTATCTTTAAAAAATATCATCTGATCATCTGAATGACGGTCCTCCACAATGCGGTTTTTAAAAAACATTTTGCCACGCACAACCACTGCCATAACTGGAATCACCTTCCAGCAATGATATTTCCGAATCGATACAATATTGAAACCTTCCAAGAAGAAACATTCGCTTTTTAAAAGGCCGACAGCAATGCTTGCAATTCCCCCTGGTGTTGCGGGTACTCATGGGCGGAGATAATCACTTACCATCTGGTGAGCCGCATGCTTGTTTGTCCTCTTGCCATAAAAAATCTAGTAATCATTAACGCCACAAAAAGGAAACTTGGATGAATATGTTTTTGCTAGTTAGGGATATTTTTTCCGATTTCCTTTAGTTACATCAAGGCCGAAAATAATTTCATTTCAATTTTTAAAATACATGTATGTCCACAGATTAAATATCAGGCTCGGTGACATGAGACGATACTTCCACGCTGCTCCTGTTGCTAGCTTGAGTCAGGTCGATGTGCCTTTATCATCACATTACCAGCTCTAAACAAAAGAAAATACAAATTGAATAAGTTGATAGGTCGCCGCTTAAGTAATTGTATTCTAATGCTCTTGGGCGCTGCTTGCCCTTACATCTTCACTGAAGAAAGGAGGCCCAGCCATATGGCACTCCAAGCCCTGGAGACTTGCAGGTGTATGAGAGGCCAACTCCAACATAACGGATACGACTTCAATGTGAGGTACTGCTAGGGGTATGAACTGCAACTCAGGCCGTCCTAATTTCGAACCCGAGAGCGAGGTATTTAATTTAATTTAAACACAGATAATAAAAACAATTTGAAAGCTAGCGGTAGGCTCGTTGGATCAAATATACCCGCCAGCGAGAGCGGATCGAATATTGTGTTCTGGCATAGACAGTCGTCGCGGTATTTTATATGTTTATGGTTAATCGGTATTTCTCTCATGATACTCGATATCTAAGTACACTTTACCATCTAGCCCTGTAGTTTGCAAGATAAGACTTCATGTTCTTTCTAGTGCGCATCATGTGACCAGCACTAGCTCCTTTTAGCGGGCCCTCCACAATCCATTGATGGTTCAGAGCGTCGGCGGCGGACATGCGCTTCTCTGCGACTAATATTATCAGACTATCTACGAAATCCTTTGCTAAGTCCGATATTTCGGTAAACGCTGTATCGTTATAATTATAATTGGCCATAGTGATATTGGCACTCGTCTCTAGCCACGTGTTTCCGGCAAACGGCATCACTCCTGAAAGTCTAATTGGATTTGTATTAGTTATGAAATATTTCCACCCCCGTGATATAGAGGTTATTATTTATAGTTCTTTTCTGTGTTAGTAGTAACTAAACTGTACTTACAACATGTATGTTACGACTCCCAAGGTCCACATGTCACACGCAGTTGTCATCTTCTCATAATTAAGAATCTCGGGGGCAATATAATCCTTGGTTCCGTAAATAACCTTCACATTGTTGCCATTATCCAACATTCTTGCAAGTCCAAAGTCTATTATTTTCACCTGTCTGGAGTTGGGACTTAGGCATATTATATTTTCGGGTTTTAGATCTAAATGAGCGATTTTATGGGAATGTAAATAATATAGAGCCTCGCAGATCTGACGTACGTAGAGTACCACATCCACTTCTTTAATATTATCTTCTTGAACTATTCTGTCGAAGAGTTCCCCGCCCCAACAACTGGAAAGAATATCAGGGTAAAGTAAAATTATCATGTTATGTTCTCTTATGCTGTGTATAATACTAGCGACACCCCCAGGCTTGAAAACCTTAAAGAGTTAGACACCTTTTAGCGGCTACCTACAGTTATTATAACCACAACCTAAAACTTTTTCAACATCACTCTGTTGATCTCATGAGAAAAATCGCATGAAGAAATAGCGACTCTACTACAGTTCTATACTATGTATAGTGATGTTTACTAATGTAGTGATGACAAATATCCTACACCAGCGGTCTTCAACGTTTTACAAATAAAGGGCCAAAAAATTTTTTCCGCATAGCGGGCCGCATCATAGTTATTTTTATAAGAAACGGGAGCTCAATTTAAATTACGATAAATGTTTTATTATATAGTTAGTTGCTACTCCATGTAGTTCACTCAATCAATCAAATATTTGTAGTTTGTCAATAAATACTATTCCAATGTAATGCAAAAAGGATGGACATACTTACTAATTCATTACTAAAATTAAGAGTCCTTCGCAACAAAAGCATCGATCAACTCCTATCTTGGGATGCTTTAATACTCTCATGATCTCATATTCTTTTTGAATGCTGTTTCTCTTCTCATCTGCGTCTTGTTTTCTGTACCTTTAATAATATTATATTATTTTTATAGAAAACTTCAATTTAAGAGTAATATTTCAATTTAATTCAGAGATAGAACGATGTTATTATTATTCGCCAAACAATAAACATATAAATAAAATGTATCTTTATTTACATAAAATAATACATATACAAGGTATAGTAAAATAAAAAAAGAAAATATAGATAAGTACATTGGGCTATCTGTACTAATATTATAAAGAGATAAATTTTATATGCATGTCAGTTCGAGGTAAGCTCCGGTTCTACTGATCCTATTTTGAAAATTCTTTCAATGTTAGAAAGTTAGGTATATTATACCCGAGTACACAGCAATGAAAGATATGGCAAAAAAATAATCATGTTGCATGCTTACGCAGCGTGCGCTGGGTAAAGGGTTAAATTTACGCCAAAGGTATGTATGATAGTTCTCCATAAAAAGTTCGCAATACATATATCTATCTTAAAGGATATATATGTTTTTATGAACTTATAAAAAAGGTTATTTATTATGTTTTTTTATATTAATCAAATTTCTTCTAAAATAATGCATGGTTTGCGAATCTTTTTATAAATATTTTATAATAGAAAAATAATTACCTTTGCAGCATAATAGGCTCCCCGTTTATCTTTTACCAGACTGACGCTACCAAAACCACCAGAGCCTATAAGGTGATCGGTTTTAGTGTAAAACGATTCGAATTCCTCCATTTCTCTGACGTTACAAGATTTTGTTACAGGTGTCTCATCCACTGGTAATGGAGCTAGAATTAATTAATTGGCATTTAATTAGTAAAAAATAACACGAACTCACTTCTAATATTATTTAGCACTTTATTTTGTTAGTATAAATAAAATATTGTAAAAGTAACTACTGAAATAGACAATATTAATAAATAAGACTGGTCAACTAACACAGTAAGCAGAGCTTGTATTATGGGTGCTAGACAACTGATATGAATACTTTTTTTGTAAATACATACACAATATACATAGAAAACATCCAGACCGATAAAAACACATTCATGAATACAAATTACTGCACCGTGCAAGGTATCGAACCTTCGATCATCGGAAAGTAAGGCGGTGTGCTAAGCGTTTATTACTTTAAATTCTTTTAATATTCTAGTTGCTCACAACACGCATGCATTTTAGTGCTAACGATTGCGAGTCTTAGTATTTATTCCAAGTCTTTACATGTTTAGCGGGTAGATTGTTACCGCTTAATAGCGGTGGCAATAATTTGCCACGCGCTGTCCGTAGATTCGCCACACATGTTTCTGATATAAAAATACAAATTTACAAGTCAACATACATATGCAAATACTGCATTCACTTGTCTCGTTCATCGGATCAGCAACTGTTCTTATTCGAAATTCCATCATCTTCTCTATGGGCGGATTTTTTATTTCAAACTTTGGGCTGCTACTGACACCCAGCTCAGTATAATCACCGTTTTTCTGGCGAAGATCAATGGCGTACCACATACTCGGGTAAGCGAAATCTTTCCTGTAAGATTATTAAAAAATATACAATGAACAAACATACATGACATACATACATTTAAACTAGGACAATTTATACAGCGGCATCTAGTTAGAAAACGAAGCTGTTTGTACTGTTTGTACTAAACATCTGATATAAATGCGTAAATACATAATAAAACTGCAAACTATGTTTGATCTCTTCTGTAACTAATGCTTACAAAGAAATACCTACTTACCACTCTATAACAACGACGTTCCTATGCTGCCCAGATGTCTCTTTTAAATCTTCTTCATATAATTCTACTGGAACTGAAGACATAAAGTCGTCGGCACACACATCGAAGTAATGAAAACCGTGTTCTTCTAACCTGAAATACAAGTAAAAATATATTTTTTAGACTCTTATCTTACATCACAGCGAGACACACATTAATTCGTCGTTTAAATACTTGAATGGAATAAAATATGATAAGGCGCCCAACTTTACAGTATTCGAAGAAATCAACCGAAGAAAGAACTTAAGTAGTTTAGTTTAACCGTGTTTTTTAATTAATATGAACAATCCGACTCTGGATTGTTCACATTAATTAAAAGGCACGGGTTTACAATCAATAGTAGGTAGGTACGTGTATAGACGGTAAGATGATATACTAGCACTTGAACATTTACAACCTAGATACATCACTCTTACCTGAAAATCTTAGTCATAGTAGTTAGTAATTCAGAATCAGGAATATAAATTGAAACTCCATGTTTTGATCCAAGTCTCATGGTATTAAATCAAATTTGGGTCTACATTATATAAAGTATTTATTCTTAATAATATTTATTCAATCTAATAAAAAAAACAGAATGTGTAGATATATTTTACCTGCAGTAAGTGATTTCCAATGCTACTTGGTTATCTAAGAAAGTCCCAAAGTGCCCGTTGCCGTTTCGGTCCTTTACCATCTGCATAGATAACAATTAATAAATATTAGGTACGTAAAATTACTCTAACTTGTAACATTCGCGTTCATTGTTGTAAATCAATTGCCAGCTTATAATTATAACGCACTGCTAATAAAGCACTGGCTTAATTCAGAACAACAAACATTACCTACCTGCGGTTGACTGCCTAAACAATATAATTCAAAAATGTGCATTAAAACATATTTTCACCATGGTAAAGGTTAAATATCCAGCAGATAAATCAGTCCTATAATAGATTCAATTAATGAAGTAACACCATTATCTCATAGTACAATATCAATAAAATCAATCATCATTTCTAATATTTATCTCGGGCCATTATAATATAAAAAGTACCTACTAGCTAGTAAAAGGCAGATTTAATAAATCGCTGTGCTACTACAAAATAATTATAAAATTCAAGCAAGTAGAAATTACATACAATGTAATAAAAAAAATCGCAAATATGCGTTTAAAAAAAAAGGTATGCTATGTATTATATACAGAAATATATAAATAATCTTCTAATTCCAACCTAAATCATAAACCTTTTCTACATATATATACCTAATAAAATACTAGTGGTCGAACATTGGTCAAAATTCGAGCACAATTAATGTAGAAATTATAAGTTTGAATATTATCAAAGTTTTATTGTTAAAGCTATACTTTTATTCGTATCTGTGTCAAATACACGGTGGTGTCTGTAATGTTTTTTTTTTATTTATTTAATAATGTATTTTTATTCAATATATTAATAAAAATATTATTCATTATAATATTATTCTGCACTCCTCGATATAAACTAAAAGTGTAAGAAGACTCATATATAGACCATATTCCGGGAGCGCAATTTTCGTGAAAAGGTACAAAGTTTTTGCTTCACGTATTAATATTAAAATTAAATAGGTAAAAATTATATGTAGGACAGATGGTCTAAATACTCACTGATGTTATCCTATTAAAACTTTTAAACGCAATAAAAAATAACTTACTTCCGTTATACTCTCTGTAATCACCATTTGTAAAATTGTCTTTGGTTGAAACATAACGTATCTTGAATTCTAAGTGTTGATATGGAACTGAACATTTTCGTTTCTAAGACGATAGCAGGTACAATAGTTAGATTTGCAGAGGTTCTGTTTCCATGCGCACGGACTTTTGGTTTGGAGGCAGCGTAATTCATGAATTCTTCTCGAATTTCATTCCTGGCTCCACATTTTTAATATAGAGTAAAAACTCTCCATCTTTGCTATTAGCCTGAACATTAGCAAATTAATTGTTCGAAAAATAATATATGATTACATATGATATTTTCGTTGTTATATAAATTACAATTAATTAAAAATTTCCGTGGTGCATTATATGTAAATTTAAATTTAAAATTAAATTTTGTAATTTATGACAATAACACTTATAGGTAAATGCAAATTGTTTGGAGTTATCACTATATTAGCTTATACACACTTGTTAAAACGTTAAATATAAATGAACAACACAAATTCACCTTACCGCTTAGTCCACATAAAAAGAAAATTAATAATGTGCCCCCAGACTAAAGTCGTATCCTTCAAGAAGGAGGCGGCCATCAGCCGTTGGTTACTAAAGTCCTTCCGTGGTTTGGAGTGCCATCTGCACTCGCCCCTATCGTCCGATAAGCTGTAGGCCAACTCCGACGGAAACGGCGAGTAAGTAGTCTAAAACTATACTAATTAAGCCAATTCAATAAATATACAATACCCACGTTAAATCTTGTATTGCTGCGTTTCCACTCTAAAATGACCGACGTACCAACAAACCTTAATAATAACCTGAATCATCTAACTCAAAACTACAATGAAAAGATATTGCAGAACCATTACAAGTAATTACAGATACTAATGGTTTCTTCAAGACGACTAAAGGCGGATTTTTCATAGGGGTATCTGAGAAATGTGAAAAGTAAAAAAAATACATAGAAATTAAATATTGTACAATAATGTTATCTTTGTTGTAGTTGATAGTCATTATAATATAAATAACCTTAAGCGTGCTAATATTGAACTTACTATTTGCTTAAGTTAACACACAAGACGAAATATCTGACTTTCCTGTTATTTCGTTTTCTATAAGCTAAAAGCATAAATCGACTCTCTCCTCTTTGAGTATCTAATATTCGTAAACATACATAGCCTCCATAATAATATTCAGGTAACAGTCGTTTATTTTGAGTAATAGGAAGATCATTTTTTAACCAATTAACAGCGATATTTAAGCGATGTGCAATTTTAAAAACAAGCAAAACTTAATCAACATCATTAACTGCTACTTCATCAGGTGGAGATTCCTCTATAAATAAATTATTATTTAAATTGTGCATTTTCTCTTCAAGCACATGTACATCTGCGGGATTTGATGCGAAACCATATTTTGTTTTTGTAGCTACTGTGTATATTCCAGTATCAGATAATTTTCCACAATGGATAGTGAGAACCGACGATGTTGTGTCCTTTAATATCATAATGCGGTCATTTTCTACTATAGGAATATCGTTTTAAACCAGATAGTCTGTTAAAAGCCTCAGAGTTAAGCTCTACTTCTAGATCTATTCTCTCTCCTAATGTTGCAACATGCTTTTTAAACATTTTGATACAGCAAGGGCCCATCTCGGGCACGGACATGTATGAATGGTTTTGGTATTTCGTGCATTGACGATTAATTTGGCACTCGAATAATACGTGCCATATTTGTCATTAAATACTATAGTGTAAATGCCTTTCGCAGTAACTGCATCTATTTCCAATCGTCGCCATTTTCTGTTGTTTATTATATCCTTAATCTATTAGATGGATGTATTTCTTTACCGTCCTTATACCAAATACATAAGAGCTATACAAACCCATTTTTTATTTGACATTCAAACACCGCTGCAGCTCCTTCATTTACAATAGTATCTTCCAAAGTATCATCAATTTCTAGTAGCTCATCATACATGAATATCCCACTAAAAAAAACAAAGAATTTATAAATGGTGTTGAGATTTTCAATGCGAAATAATTTAATTTGTGACAATGTACTCACGTTTTGTCAACAAGATCACTTAAATATTTATTAGTTGCATTTTTAATATCTTGTTTACGATATTTTTTAGGTGACTTATAGCTACTAGATGTATTTTTAGACTGCTTAGTTGTGTAATTTCGAAAGTAAAATCTGGAACAATATAAGTATAATTTAGCTTTTTATTAGGGTTTAACTGACTATTAGCTGAAAATAATATAGGTAACATACCATTGAATATATACGATTACGAGTAGTAACTTGTAAACAATTTACTATAAGAAGGTTAAGTATTTGACAGTCCTAAATGTATCTGTCTAGCGCCAATTAGGTATATAATATCGATGTATGCGTGTATGTGATTATAACCGTACAGGACTACGTGAGTCACCCGTCACATAAAGGTCATGCAAGGTGAAAACTAGAAGGCCGATAGGTCAAAATCATGCGCAACATAACAACCTTATAAACACACCCTACTTTAATTAATAGACATAATATGTCATTATAAAGACAAACCCTTGCAAACTTTATGCTTATTTTACAACTATGAGCGCAGGGACTGTATTTATCTTGTGCTGGTAAATGTAATTATGTAAAACATATACTATTTAAATGTCGAACGTTTTTGATGTATGTATGATGATGTTATTTGGTTCCTGGAAGAAATAGAGACTAACGATTGTAATAAAAAATAGTACAGTATCAGAACGGGAGTATACCGGTATATACTATATGTAGCCACAGTTATTATACAAATTCCATTTAGTCTTGACGTAGATATGGCTTTCTAATGCAGTTGACTGTTGATTCACCGGAAGAAAAAGGAGACGAGTACGAGGGCACTCTAAATCAGACAACAGTGTATATAATAAGCTTTCTCCGGCAAAGGTAGGTCAGGTAGGTAGCGTAGTTTTGGCATCTGCGCGAATTTCCGTTCAAGCGCAAAGAACCGTCTGTGAGCGACTGCGTCTGAGTTAATTAAATCATAATCTTTTTCAGAATAATAAATCCATGTTATATCTTATAATTATAAATAAAACGACGATTCCAATTTATTGTCACAATCTAACATCCGAACTAATAATATACGTCGTCTATTTGAAAAAAATATTTATTTTTGTAAACTTATCTCTAGCTTTAGTAATCACAACCGCGGAGAAAGAATAAGAAGGTGAGTCATCTACATCTAATATCACCCATAAATACATAACTTAATGTGGAGAGTAAAGAGGGAGGTGTGCTAGTAGTGCTAGTACCCGGCTCTACCCTATTCCTTTAATAATTTTAAGAGAATAGTTGCGCACCGACAACAATATCAAATTCGTCTAGCATATATTTCATGTTAAATTATTTAAGTGTAATATTGTTATTTATTTTAATATAATTAGCAGAAGTCGAGTACAGTCGAAGACGCCATAATACAATTCACGACGAATGCAAAAATGTGTTTTATCATTAGCATTGACGCGGGATTTTAGGAACCATTAGATACCTATGAAACATCTTAAAAAAACTTGTCATTACTTTTGTAACGCGTGCTCTAAACTTGGATGGTTGACAATAAGATAGTGTCATACAATCTCACATCGGAACTAAGTGAGACAGACGGTGAATCACTATTAACTACGTGAGTATGTGTAGTAAGTACTCTGTGACAGGAAGCGATCGCTGTGATGCATCAATGAATGTGTTGGCGAGAACTGCGGTCGCCCCATGGCTAACTGCTGCGCAATGGATAGCGTATGAGACGAAAAATGCGTACTAATATCATGCGAGCTATTTGTACTACAAAAATGCAGTAAAGTATGTCTTTTTTGACAAACATTACTCGAACTACATTTAGATAATTTATGGGATAAACTAAAACTAAGTTAACCCAACCACCTTTAGCTTAACTAACATAAAATGATTTCGCGGTAAATTCATATTTTCTTTACATAGTATAAAATTAAATGCTTCCGCTGTCTGTTCGTTTAGAACTTTTAAACTCCGCAACTGATTTTAAATCAGTTTTTAGCAATAGATAGAGTGATTACAGAGGAAGGTTCATCATTCAAGATGTACACCCATGCGAACCCGCGGCGTGTAGTGTAATAAAAAATACTAATAAAATAGTCGATCAACCTCAGGTCCCCATAAGCTTTTTGCCATAGCTGGCATAGGTAATCAATGTTTTATTATACATCAATTAACGGAAATCAAGTTACCGGAGGTAAAATTTACAAAATAGTTTCAGTTGACTATTTAATTTATTTGGCGTTTCCCAAGAACAAATTGTCTGTGACAACGGGCGTCAGACAGGGGCCGAGAGACAAGATAC